GAAAACCTAGGTACCGGAGGGGGGGTAGCATATATATATATATATACACATACACATACACGTATGACACATGTATATGAACATGTATGCAAGACAGTGTATGTACGAAAAACACACACTCTCTCTTTCTCTCTGCATCTAGTAATGAACGACTATTGTTACTGATCGGTTGATCCGCTGAGTGATGCCACTCGACTGGAGCCCCGAACCGCCCTGGCTTGAGGCGCCCGCCCAGCGCTGCTTCGGGTCGCTGTTTGCGGTACCACCACGGTGGAGCTTCTGTGCCTTGCTGGGCCTCACCAGGCAGCGATATGGCGAGGCGTTCATAGCCGGGCAAAGATGCACAGGCAGATTTAGGTGGCAAGCTAGATACAACCACCGAGGCAGCAGACAAAAGAGAAAGCTAACCGGTACAGGACTGATGGGCAAGCAGACCGGCCCAAAGAAAGTACAACAGGCCAGCACGAAAGACTGAAGACCATGCGATGGACCCCCCCCCTTCTAGATGGGGATTGCTTCCGAATTTGCCCTGTTTCAGGGTGGTGGCAGTGGAGGTAGTCGTAGTGGTGGTGGCTTGTAGGTTTACTTCAGATCGCAGTTGGTGTGCTTGCATCTTGTCTCTTGCCGCCACCTGCGCAGAAAGACGATCAGCACAGAACTGCTAGGGTTCCTGGCAGCACACTTCCTGTAAGACGCAGGCTGCATCTCGCCCGGCGAGAGAAACTGTACTCGGCGACCAGATGAGATGCCGATTTGGCAACCTACAGCAGGAATATAAACTCTGTTCTCTCTAGCTTGTGTGGGAGGACCTCCAAGCCCCGCCCCATAGGCTGTCAGACGCAACTTCAACCCTCAATCGGTGCATTGCGGCCTCCCAGATTGTGGAAAATTCGTGATTTCGCGGTCTGCTTCTTTGGCAGCGTGGCGGGCTCCTCGCTCTGCTGAAGGCGCTTCCGCTTCTTCATCCGTCCTGACTGCGGTCTTTATATATACATATATATATATATATATATATATGTATGTATATATATATATATTATGTGTGTGTGTGATTGTTTTCGGAGTTGTTCTTCGTGGTTGGATGGCTTGCCGTATAGTAAGAATTAAGGAGATTGCGAGGAGGCTTCTCGGGATTGTTACACGGATTTTGAAGGAAAAGAAGCTTCGAGGTAGGCTTTGGAGGGGGGTAATATATATATATATATATGTATATATATATACACACACATAAATATCGTTTTATGCGTATATATCTCTGTATATGTACATGTCTATGTCTATGTATTATATGTATATGTATATGTACATGTATATGTATGTATATATATATATATGGATGGGTGGTATGAAGTCTCAGAGTGTACGGAGACAAAAGACAAACTCGAAAGCAGTAGATGTACCACAACTGTAACAAGGAGGTATATCATGCCACTTCACAAGCTGTCATTGATAAACACCTTCTGGTCTAGCAGATACCCATCTCAGTTTACATACCGCTTCTACATAGTCTTGCCAGCAATAAAAACATATATATATATATATATGCACAAATGCAGGCCAACGCAAGCAGCAGGATTTGCAGCTCCACAGGAATGGATCCACATCTCGCTGTATCTTTATCTACCTCTATCTATCTATACACCTAGACCTAGCTAGCTAGCTGGTTAAGCTCTTCATATCGGTAACCATGTTTTGCTTTCTCGCTCGCTCGCTCGCTCGCTCTCTCTCTCTGTCTCTGTCTCTGTCTCTTTCTTTCGCCAGGGCTGTGGTGGGGAGTTGCCTCCCGTCTGCCTCTGTCTCTCTCTCCCCCGAGACATTGGCGATGATATCGGGAGTGTAATGTTGATGACGACGACTACTCAATACTAACAGCAGCTAGTAGTGATTGCATCGCGCTTCGTTGCCATACATCCGCACTACTTCCTTCCCTGCTCTGCACAAACCATGAAGCCTAAGATCCTCAGGTTCAGGTGACTTGGCTTCGCACGGCTAGGAACAGGTGCAGCATCAGGGAGATCCACGGAGTAGATGTACTGAGGCCTGCAGAATCGAATCTGCGTGTGGCCGAAGAGGGCCCCAGTGGCTCCAACATAGAGACATCCAAGAGCTCTCAGATGGAATGCATGCGAGGGAGTGTGGGGGGGACACGCTATGCTTTGACATTCCGGAAAGATGATGCGGTACTAGATATTTTGAGGCTTACCGCTGCGCTCCGCCAAGTGTTTCATTTCAAGGTTCGATGGAGCTTCCACACGAAAAAGCGGGCTCTTGAGCGGTGATTGAATTGGCGAACTCAATTTCTCTACGCCTTGTGAAACATCGGCGGCCATACCATGCCATCCAGCACGGCGCAGTGAAAGGCGAAATAAACTGTCCCAGCAAAGGCGGCGAGCTGCAATGCGCGCCCCGAAACCTCCACTGCACTGCTCGGAATCGTCACGACGGAGTACGCCCATGCTATTGCTGATAATCCCGAACATCCGAGCTGGAACCTAATGCAAAGGAACAGTGTCTCGTTTGGCTTCTCCAGGTAGGAGACACACATGGGCAGCCAGAAGAGCTCAGTAAAGAAGAAGACTGCGAAACAGCTACAGATGCGGTTCACCACACTTCTGGGCAGCGTAGGCGCGACCACGAGCATATGGGCCAACGCTGGAAAGTATCCCACTGCGGCCAAGCCCATACTCGCATAGTAAGTATATCGAAGCCAGTTGAGACTTGGCTTCGACATGTGACCCCACAGGACCGAGGCCGTGTGGTACGTTTTGACCTGAGCTGACCACAAGCACCCCCAAACCCTAAACCCTAAACCCTAAACCCTGATGCCAACTTCAGAGGATCGCCCCATGCAAAAGGTGGTTACACGGATGTGGGAGTTTCCGAAATATGGGGTACCTTGTTTTGGGGCCCTTATAATAAGGATCCTACTATTTAGGGCATTTAGGGTATTTTATTAGGGTCCCCTATCTTCTGAAACCCCCATGTACAGGCCTGTTGTATAGTGCTCCCATCCTACGCTGCCTATGCTGCCAGGGCTCAAGTGTGGCAAGGCCCCAGACATAGTCGGCCATGAGGAGTGCCCCCAGTCCACAGTAGACAAGCAGGACGAGATAGGTGCCCTTGCGCCCTGCCGAGTCTCCCAAAAGGGGCTGGCAAGCACCCCCATCCGATTCTTCCCGCATTCCTTGCTCCCGAGCGCTCTTCTCGGCCATGTTACGAAGGATGTGGCGGATGTGGGATCATGGTATCGAGGGGCTCGAGCCGTGAAGGACAGAAGCTGACACATGTTGCAAAAGCGAGAGCACCGCAGCTCCGGATGGAGCTCCTTTCGCCTAAAGTCAAAGGGCGGCAGGACTCAGGCCTCACCCAGCCATGGATGCTCGAGATGACAGCCAAGGAGTTGTCCTGACACAAAATGTGCGTTGTCTTCGGAAAGAAAAATCCAATCATGAATGTGTACCTCCACGTGATCCTTCAAGCCACGACTACTAGCAAGCGCCAGGTGCCCGCGGCACGTTTGCCACACAACATCATGTCCAGTGTCCAGTCCTCCAAACTGCAGACCACCTGGCCATCATCTGTTGCCTGAGCCATGAGAAGCTAAAGGTCCAAATCACACCACGGCAATGTCAAGGCTCCAAACTGTACGTGCAACACAGATCCCCAACAATAACAAAAACAAGCACAGGACCCAGAACAACAGCAACAGCACAAGCCGCAGCACGTCCAGCACACATCTCTATCCATCAAATAAACGGAGCGAAAGCCCGACGATGTCTCTGGGCTCGTGCTGCATTTCTGCTGCTACTGTTGTATCGTTTGTGTTATCTGTATGATGAGCCGTTGCGGTATCAGCGGTATGACTATCGCGGCTATTGGTATTGTTACTATCTGTCAGTGTTGCTATCGGGGCTTGTGTTGCGCATAATATAGTACTTGTCAGTGTTTCTGCGGTTGTTGTCTTGCCATTGTCCCTGCTGTGGTTGCTGCTGTTGCTGTTGGCGCTAGCTGCTGCTGGCGCCTCAAACCCGCGACCCAAACTCTGCGAGCAGGTTGCGATCATGTGCCGCAGAGCCGTCGGAAAGCGTGGGATGAACTGCAGAGTTTCGTCCTGATGATGAGACGGTTGGGTGCTTTGGGGATGCTTGAGAGAGTGGTGCGGAGTCGAGGACAACGGATTTTCCAACTACTGGTACCGCCATTGTCACGGCAAGGCCACGTGCACTGCTACTACTAGTCCTACGACCCCGGCTACCGCAGCTAACTGCTCCTGCTGTATGCGCCTCTGCCACAATCCTACTCTGGCGGCTGTTGACAGCTTGCCAGGCTTTGGGCTCAAGCGCACAGGCTATCAAGGTTCTCTGTGGAATACTATCGTTTGCTTCCGAGCACTCCACACGATCCTTCGGTTCAGAGTCTGAAGCAACCACCAACACCGCACCCTCCTCCATGTTGCGGACGCAGAGGACGCCCTCACGGCCGGCGCTCAGCAACACCGGTCCACAGTGCTCCAAGGCGAGGATCTCGCTAGCCTGGGCAGATCTGAGACTCCCTGCTGCAGGGCTCCATAGTCTGCTTCCCAGACACCTGCCGAAGCAGTGGCAAGCTAGGAATAGGGCCACAGTGCAAACGAGGAGCATCACGAAAGAACGCACAGGAGGACATACCAGGACGAATTCGAGGAGCAGGAGAGGAACGCGAGGAGCGGCAGTCCCTCCATCATCACCGTCATCATCACCATCACCATCACCATCATCATGACAGTCATCATCGCCACAACCATGATCATCACCATCACCACCGTCATCATGCTCGCAACCATCATCATACTTGTGATCCTAGCTAGATGTGCACCACCCTCGGCCGGTGGCTACGAGTTTATGAGGTTTAAGGCACTGTGTTCTCGTCATGAAGGTTACACCTGCCATCCTCCGAACACAAGACTGCTTGCAGTAGTGACCTCTTGCAGTGGCGCGCACAAAGCCCGAAGCACCGGCAGCTCTGTGGCGCGCACATGCCAGTGCCAACGAGCAGGGACCTCACACAAAAGGGGCCGCACGTCAGGATCAACAACCAAGGCAATGAGTAGTGAGTGGTGCTGATGAACTTTGAAACCTTTGTGAACCTAACAAAACCACACATGAATCTGCATAAAAAGGGCCAGTAGACCCTCTAACTCCGACTCTCAAACATCGGCTCTTCTATCACGTGAGGCCGGCACCGCCATTGTTGCGTCTATGCCTTCCTTTTCCAGTATGCCCCACCTTGAGGCACCAAAGAAACGGTTAGTGAAGACACTGCTGGCAAGATCTCAAAAGGGCGGAACTGGTCTAGCAAGCTAAGTAATTCAGAGATAGGCAGCAATGATTGCTCGGGCATGGCTGCACTGGGTGCTGATAGTGTACCGGAAGCTCGGGCAGGGACACACATGCCGGCTTCACGGAGCCCAGCGGAATACAAACACATTGCAAAAACAGAGCAAGCGCGGGATCCGCAACGGCGTCTCTCACAAATTCCAAGAACCTGGGCATAACCGAGCCCTCGGCTCATCTTCATCATTGGTACCATCAGGAAGAAACATGGTCATAAGACACGGCCAAAAACGAAGACAGTACAAAGAACGTCACGTGACAAAACAGGGGAACACACAAGGAACACGAATCATACAAAAGCTCTGAAACCACAGGCACACCCATGAAATCCCGAATGTCTATCGAACATCAGGAATACGGCCATTACGACGAACGAGCAATGCTGCACCAAAGGCCAGGATCTTCATTCCGGATCCTCCAGCAGCAGCCATGACGATCAAGTATAATGATTCTTCAGATGCGCCTATACATACGTACATCCGTACATACATGCATACATACATACATACACTAGATACAAAGATACGCCAACACATATGTAGATAAACAGACAAAAAGGCAACATAGATGATTCGATTGCTTAGATGAGCTGAGATGAGATGAGATCACATGAGATCAGATCAGATCAGATCAGATCAGATTAGACTAGATAGATAGATAGATAGATAGATAGATAGATAGATGGATAGATGGAGATACATGAGCGGATAGATGGACAGGCAGTCAAGCAGGCAGGTTCTCGACGTACTGGACGTGACACATTACTATGATACACGGCAATGTACCGTGCACAGGGACATCTACAGGCGGCCCGGCCAGGTCCACAAGACGCCCCGGCAGTCTCCAGCGCAAACGTATCTCCTGGCCCGATCTGTTGGTTCGAGCGTGGGTCCAGTGGCGCAGTGCTGGGCTTCAGGATCTTGAGGGTGCCTTATAGAGCTTTTAGGGAGTTGATTCTCATCATCCGGTCCTGGCCGGGTCAATGGCAACTGAGGTCAGCGGATGGCTGTGGGTGTACCTGGCATCAGAGATTCTTCCGGTTGCCATTCCCAAATGTGTGCTCGTGGTTCGCATTGGTTCGCGCTAGGCTGTGGTGGCAGCTGCATGACGAGCTAGCTACAAACCATGTTAGGTCGAATTCCACAGCTGTTGCATACTATTACCACCGGCTCAAACTTGCTTGCTCAACAGCCACCCATCCGACTGCCGTCAGAAGCTCGGCAGCCTCTGACTGTTCGACCAGCCATCTGCCCAGACAACCAGGTCCTTTGCAAAGGCCATTGACAACTACCATCCGTACCCTGGTCTTCCAAATCGTATCGATTAACAAGCAGGCCGTTGAAGCCCTCGCAAGTCTCACAAAACCTGTCTGCGGCTCCTTGCCATCAACAAGAGCGATGACATCGTCAGTCGCAGCCGCTGGCCCGTTACTGTTCGTCACGCCTTGGGACGAACCGACGACATAATCAGTATGTTTATCCCGCAGAAGAACAACCGCTGCTGCGTCGTTATGCTCCGGCTCCGTGGTCAGCTTCAATCGACAAGTGAGAGACGAAACCTCTATGCACAACGTCTGCAAGATCCCTGTGTGCTCAAGTACCCGACTCAGCGGCGTCTTTCTCAGTTTCCTGCAAAGCATGCGCGTAGCAGGATGGCTTCCTACCAAACATGCCTGACTCCGAAGATTGGTCTCTCAAGTGCAGCGACCCATTGGAGAGGGGAAGCCCAGTTAGATTATACTATAAAGCTATACCGTACGATACTATACTATAAAGACTATACTCTACTATATGATACTATGCTATACTATACAATACTATACGATACTATACCATATGATCCTATACTATGAGGTAACAGAAGCTCAAGGTCTCGCGCCTTATAGACTCCAGGGAGTCCACGGAAACAACTTCTGCGGTGACTGTCGCTCCTCTCTGGCCTCAGAATGCGATGAATTCTCGCAGAAGGAGGTTTTCAAAACACTCCTTTTTTTTAACCCGCTTCTGCTAGTGACATCTACACTTCAGGACTCCGAGAGAGTCCGACAACTCGAGTACTTCTCCGAGACAGCCCCTGGCAGACCAGAATCCCCCACAAATATCTGTGGCCGTGGCCCAAAAACACCATGATAATGCTTTTGGTTGGCCAGGAGACATGTAATACCTGAAAGCAGAAGCGCGCCACTATGGTAGATCTCAGCCATAAAGAGAAAGAATAGAAAGACAGAGCACTAGAGAGAGAGAGAGAGAGAGAGAGAGAGCGAGAGAGAGAGAGAGAGCAAAGCATCAAGACATGTTCGCGAATCAACATGACAGACATGCAGTGTTGTTCGGCTTCGAGATACAGATGACTGAAGCATCACTCACACATACGTTGCTGGAGCCATAGAAGCATACCTACAACTAGCCAGCACTCACAGAAACCTTGCGTCTCCGGCAGTCTGAGCGCTTGTCAAGCCTGTTGCTGCGCTGCCGCCCCCAAACCCGAAGCCAGCAGAAACCGCTTCTGAGTCGTTTGCAGGCTCATCGAACTGCAAATGGGACAGCCGCTGCAGACCTTAGTGTCACGCTGTCGACATCGTCCTTGCAAGCTCCGGCAGAAAGCTCCGAAGAAAGGGGCTAAGTGATGGAACAGCACACGAGCAGAAAAATCCTGGGACCGCAGCTCTTGGCATCCCATATAACCAGCTCTCCGAACCTGAGGCAGGCTCCCCACTGCAGGGATGCCCAGCAAGCAGCCGCACATGCACAACAGATGTAGAGTTTTGGCTTTCTGGGACTACCTGGAGATCCTTAGTCCTGGAGATTTTTTCCTAATCTTGATGCTCACCGCAACTGCAGCTGCACCGCCAGGAGCCCCGCGAGGATCCCGTTGCGACAGCCTGGGGGCTGTCGGCACTCGTGTTGCCTGGAAGGCCTGCGAGCAGGTAACCAGATAACATGAGGATGTTTTACAGCGCAGGAAACGAATGATTGAGAGCAGAGGACAGTCCAATCCTCAGTCGAGATTTCTGTGCTGACATATACAGCGTTAATCTACAAGCACAATCGTCCACATACAAACGCATGTTCCTCGGAACATCTACCCACATACTTACTTCCGTCTCTTTCTTGAGAATACACGCTGGCAGCTATGCATACCAATATGCAACCTAGACATGCCCGGAATATCCTGTATCAACGGTCTTGGGTTCGTAATCAAGAGCTGCCTCCTGCCGTTGCCGTCACCGTGCCACGGAGGGGCCCAAGTACTCCCAGACGCCGGGAGGTTCGGGTCTTGGCACCGAGGATGCGTTGGTTCAGAGTTGCAGAGACCAGCTGCTTAACGTCTGGATTCAGGCTTTAGAGCGGGTGGCACAGGCCTCTGGGCTTTTCAGATCATAGGTAGGGTCGCTGGCCTGGGGATCTGTGAGTGTCAGGCTTGGACGGTGTTACGGTTGAGGGCTTCAGAGTTCGGTTCTTTTCAGCTTTTTGGCTTACAGTGTCTGCATTCAAGGTTCCGGGTCTCTTGGCCTTGCGGACGCTTGAAGGGTCTAGACTTCAGACTGAAGCTTTTCCAGTCTGCGGCAGCTGAAAAGCCTTTCAGACTTTAGAGGAAAAGCTTTGCCCCTTCTGCAAAGGTGAGCGACAGGCATTTGCTCGTGAGTTTCGCCCTACCGTGGGTGGGGCCTTAGTGTCGTTGGGAAGAGATGAGTTTGCTGGCTGAAGCTAGGCTATACAAGTAGTGTAAGCCATATATGTATACATGTAGATACCACTATGCCTTCCTGTCTACTAAGTTAACTTAATCAAACAGAACATGACCTTAAGAAATGTACATGTGTAAAGTAAACACGTGCACTTGCTTATCTGCATAGCTGTACATACTGTACAGGGGTATATCTGTGTACATGCATAGTTGTATATCTGCATATCTGGTGGGCAATTTCATCAGGGTTCCCTCCTTCCGAGCCCCTTCCCACCTTCTGGTTGTGGATGTGGTGCTTGCTTTTTGTTCCCGGTCCCCCCCCCCCCCCAAGTTGTGGATGTGTTGTTGCTGGTATCCTGCCTCCCCGACCCCTGTAGTTGTGGAGTGTTGATGAGGTTAGGTCATGCTGCTATGGAGCACGGTCTTAACCCCGTTGTTGGCTTAGGCCTGCTGCCGTCAAGGACTTGGAGGACACGAGACCACTAAACCCGAGAACCAAATCAATTATACACGTGTTTCTGTGTGCGAGAACGTATATAAAGTGCAATTATTTGTTTCCATACACCGACCTGCAAATCAACTTATGAATCTGATTGTTGTATTGACCTGCCGCGGCTTGACGAGTTGCAGCAATGCGCATTAACGCAAGCAGCAGTCGACCCTCGGTGCTATCTTCGCACTCGTCGCTCGAGGCCCGGGCGCTGAAACCTATGGCCAAGTTGCCACAGGCCGCGAAAACGCGTGAGCCATCCGGCGTAACTGCCGGCTTCTTGCCCGAGATCAATCCACCGAGGACAGGAGGTCGGATCGACTGCCTCAGCTGCGGGCCGTGTGCCGACTGCGAGGAGGAGGGCGTCTGAGGATGGCAAAGTCTCAGTGCTCGACCCTGAACTCAGACGAACCGTATTGCTCGTCTGCTTAGAAGGCTCCATGCTCGCCGCACGGGAAGGCCACAGGACGCATGTGTCAAGGAGGTCTAGGACCGAAAGCGTCTGAGTCGCTTTACTGCTTCGTAAACCGGACTCGCTCGGAAATGGTGCTTGGATGGGGTGCAGAGTAGTGTGCTTGCGTGAGTACAATGTACATAGGTTTTTGCATACTTGAGCCACAGGGTGAAAGTAGTGAGTCTAGCTTGAGGAGGCATCCCTGGAATCATAACGGCACCAACAGACATTAAATTGAATGCAATACCATAACACCACTCTTCTGCAACACCCGCCGAAAAAATCAACAAGCAGAGGCAAGGCTGTACATCAGTGGGTAAGGCTAAGACACAGATCTCAAGCACTCCGTTGGCAGAAGCCTTCATGTCAAAGCAACACCTCTGCATCTGCGACCGGTCGCAGACACCGGAACCAGACTCGACATGTGATAGTGACAGTCTCTGAGACAAGCCTGTTTCCGAACTGCGAATGGCCTCCTCGAGTTGCAAGATCTTATGCTCACCACAGCTCTTAGCTGTATGCGGGACATGCAGGCATGCAGGATCAGTCGCAGGTTGCGAGCTGCCCGAAAAACGCAGCGAATCCTAGCTTCCGGAGCTGGGCTGCTTTGGTAACGCCTAAATCCTGTGCATGCACATGAAGTCATGAAGTACTTGGCTTCTAGCATACCTCTTGACCTTCTTTCGCTGATTCTATGGACTTCGCTTGGGGTGGATCTGAGTCGCCGTACCCTCAGTAGAGATGCAACCTTCAGTCAGCATTGCGAGTTGCAAGCAGCATGTCGACGATCATAGGCAGCGAGTTCTGCCCTCCCAGCATCCGTGCGTCAATGGAACACGCCCAAGGCAAAAGCTGCTGAGCGTAAGAACCAGTGTGCGTCGAATCGGTCACTGCTACGAACCCCAGGCAGTCTCAGCAATGGGATACAATAAGCAGGGGCTCCATGAGTAGCATGCCCAACAAAACCAACCAAAAGCAATAGATCGCAGCTATTCAGTGAACATCAACAGCATCATCACCCTGCCACTGTCCGGGGCCGAAGCTTGGTACAGATGGCCACGCGGCAAGTCCTGAGCTGCAAGAGAGGCAGCCCGAGCTCCAGCTCGCAAATCCGGACTGGAACATGTAGTATCCCTTCTCATAACCTGTATAGCAACCCTTTCTTTATAGCCCTTGTAGTAACCCTTATAGCAAGGCCTGATATTGCGTACGCTCAGGGTTCTGTATGACCAGATAAGACGAAGTCATATTGAGATGGGTTGCACAGATACGGTTTGCCAGTGCTAGATGCGGCGAGGCCCTGTTCAAGAAGAAGGAAAGAGATCGAAGTCTTACCAGGCATTTCTGGTGACTTTAATTCTACTGTTGGCGACTTTCAAAGATCCCTACACGTCCTACACCGTACAACAGGCCCTAAACCCTAAACAATAAACTAGTCTTAGCTTGCAAAAACGAAACCGGTCGCACTGAGCGCCCGGCTGATCCAGGCATGCAAAGACACAGAGGCCGGTCTTGTTCATGTGCCAGTCCTTGGGCTTGCTAGAGGTGCTAGGGGTTGTGGTCGGGGGTCAGGTTGAGGGTATAAAGGTTTGGGATTTGGAGTTAAGGTTTGAGGGGCTTACGGGTGAATGAGGAAATAAAAGCGGCAAAAGACGCAAGTCTAACCCCTGCGGATATGAAGAAGCGAGTCCAACTTCCTGATTGACTCTCCCATTTCCTGTTTGCAATCTGCCTGAACTTAAAGAAATCTACAGAATGCGGGGGCCTTCCTAGGTAGAGTAGGGCTCTAGGTGAAACTATACAATAAACTATACCGGGACTATGCAGGAATGTTGCTACGTACTAGATGTACTAGTTAAGCCTCTTATCTTTCACTTCCTGGGACGGCGGCGAAGGAAATCACGGGCTGCGTTGACAGCTCCTTGTCACATGCGCGTGGATTGCGTATCAATCCTTGACGATCCGGTTAATTCAGACGGATGTGCTCTGGTTGCAGGGATGCTAAAGGCCTTAACGCTCAAACAGGCTGGGCCACAAGATCTATATACATACATACATACATACATCTTACAAAACATAACTAACATGTATGCAACGTAACAAGTGCTATATAATATGTGCATTATATATATATACACACATACATATATATATATATGTATATATATATATATATATGTATATATAATTGTAAATGTGTATGTGTCTATATATATATATAGAGATCTTTGATCTTACATGCTATAGGGAGCACGATGTTGCTGTGTAAACCATACAGTGCGAACATGGGCCCCCAATGGGACCAGTTCCGTACATATATATATATATATATGTATGTATATATATATGTATATATATATATACACACGTACATGTATGTACATAAATCTGGGCTGCAACTCGGGTATCGGGTCCTTCTGATTGAGCATCTCGACGGTGCCGGCAACTCCCCGACTTAGGCAGCAGGGTCGGAAAAGGCTGTCAGGCTAGGGATAGGGCCCCCGGTGGGTTTTCTCAAAGGTCCATCGCTTGTGATATGTGCTTTGGACACCTGTCGCCAGTACCTCAAGAGACGCAGAATGCATCTTGACATCTAGCAGCTTCAAGACGGTGATGGTAAATGCACTGTGTATACTTAGTACAAGCAGGAGAAACTGCCGTCAGTACCATATGGCACTGGTAGATGGGATCGCGGAATAAACAACTCTGAGTCGTCGCTGAGCGCCATGCTCTATGCCTTCCTTGTCCTGGATGGACCGTTCTTCGGGGTAGGAGTACCTCGTCGTGGGCTGACTTAATTTTGGGACTCATGCGGTTTTCAGCACCCCCAACCGCAGACTCTGGTGTCTGGGTCAGTCTTACTTGAACAAGGTGATGGTTCCGTTTCCACCACAGGAGGCGAAGACTTCCCGGTTCTGCGGCAGGAAGTGCGCCCCCCAAAGTGTGCTCTTTGTCACCTGTGCAGTTTTCAGAGCTGTCGCCAGGAACCATGACTTCTGAAGTGCAAAAGCTGGCGGCACAAGCGGATTGGCCTTCTCCTTCCTACCTGCGTAGCCCTCTTCGGGGTGATACCTGACGCTGGTCCAAGCATCAGCTTTGTTTCAGAAGCCATGCAACAAACTGGCATCGCTGATGATACCGGAGGTCCAGACGTGCGGAGGTCATAAACCACCAGGGTCGACTCGAGCGTCGAAACCTCTGAGCAAAAAATGCAACAGAAAGGGGGGGGGGGGCGGTTTGCCACGCAGAGCTCTCAGGATGGCACGCCCAGCTTGTTCATCTTGATATCTTTCCTGTCCTCATGCCGAAGCATGAAAGCTGCGCTTACAAGTTGCGCACTCAAGCTTACAAGTCCGTGGAGCAGTAGCTTCATTCTGGATGCGGTGGTCCCTGTATAGTTACACAGGCGTATGCAAACTAGTATGCAAACTATCTTGATATAGCTTCTAGTCCTGGGCTTTGCTTTGAAGGGCCCTCCCAGGGACAAACTGAACATGGAAAGAATTGTTGGAGCTTCGCTACTCCGGTGTTTGGTGCACCAGAAACCGCTTGCAAACACGTTTTCATAAGACGCCGGCAGGTTTAGTAGCTTTCAATGGAAGAGTTCAGGGCTTAAGGTTGAAGGTGTAACTGGCCAAAGCCCCATGAGACACTGGCGAACTGGAGGTGGCACACCCCGTTCCGGACGTTCGTGTCCCATCTCAGCGTGTTGGTGCGCCTTGCACGGAGTGTCATGCTGCAGTTATTCGGGTGAGAAGACATTAAATGCGACGGCAAGCTGAGACCGGGACAAGTCGAAAATTTTGACGTCACCGTTGTCGTATCCTGTTCTGAGAACTCATGTAGTCTAGCCGTGCAGCAAACAAACTCTAAGGTCATGTGTCCTGCAGCGATGCAGCGCTCTGCGTCGTTGTAGGAGTTACCGAAGGCCACTGTCCAGCAATCGGCTGGTGTCTCGCCCTCTACGGGCTCAAGTGAAAGGACTGGATCCTGGGTGCGAGGATCCCAGACCTGTGCAGATGCGACAATTGGGAAGAACAACGTGGGAATCCTGAGCTGAGCTGCAGACGCGAACCGTCCCATCCCTGCTGCCTGTCACTAGCCTGAGACGAGCATCAGCACACAGCTCCAGTCCAGTTGTGCCGAAAGTCTCACCGCTCACTGGAGCTGCTTTGCTGAATCCTCCGGGCGCACGCTTACGAACAAATCTGTCCAAACAAAACTGCTTCTGGAGCATCTGTCTGCAGCGTTTTGCGACAGTGCTTTGGAAGCGTCCTTGCCTCTTCACTACCCGCCATGACCGCTCATGACCATATAAACCATATTGTCCGCGTTCCGTGAAGACCTGAATCACTTGGAAACAACACTGCGCGAGTTGTTCGGATTCAGGACTGATGATCATTCCGGACAGTGTAGCCGATATTGCCAGGCGTCAACTTCATGACGGCTGAACAAATAGATTCAGCCAATGAGGGATATCCTTCCGACGCATCATCGTGTAGAATTGCCGACAGAACTCCTGGGGTGCTTGCCGAGACCCATCGCGAGTCTGGCAGCCACTTCACCGGCCCGTTCGCACTCTCGTCATTGATGAGATGCTCAGGAATGCTGCAAAATAGCAGCTTCTGCAGCATTTTTCCAGTGCAGTCGACAACATCTGCCATCTCCTGCTTGCCTCCCCCATCGCGCTGTCTAGTAATGTGCACACCACTCCCCCGCAAGGTTGTGCGATGCAGCTCCTGAAGGAAGGCCTTCTCTGGGTCGTCGTAGCTCATTCGGCTACTGGTCGAGGCCCCAGACTGCAGCTGGCAAGCCAAACGGAAGGTCAGCATGCGCCTCAATTCCACCATTTCGTTGGGCTTTTGGCGACTGGCTTTCTCGGCTTCCGCCAGCTTTGACAAAGCCTGCCAAGCCGGTGAGCTCACGCGTGCACGATGCTGTGACTTCACGACATCATCCACAAACTTTCCAGTCTTGCCGGACCAAGGATGCAGCAGCGAATCTGCGACGCCAGAATCGAGCAGAGACAGAAGCTCAGCATCTGTCAGCTTAGAAAGAAGATGCTTTAGCTGTGGTATCATCTCTGTTGGAAGATCTGGCAGGCTACGGAAGGAGTCCAGCATGAACACCTGTTTGAGCTGCAGCGCGGCAGGGCTGAAGGATGCGCTCAGTGTCAGGATTTGTCTGGTTGATTCACGCACAAAAACCAGCCGAACAAACTCCAAGAAGTGTATGTTCCTTGAGGTCTCCTGCTGCATGCTGTCAACAGCAAGATCGTTTGCTTTCAAGCTCTTGTCCACTGTCTCTGGGGCTCGTTGAAGCTTCAGAGTGATGTTGAACACGGTGTTCACGTCAGCTTCCAGGTGGCTGTCGCTGGTCCTCGGAAGCAGAACTCCAGCTACAGCCCCAGCAGACTGCGTAAGAAAGTCTGCCTTCCAGGAGGAGCGCCGCGCATCCCAATAGACGGCTCGAAGGCACACCGCGAACGGCTCGCGGAAGGAGAAGCTGTGCTGGACTTGCTGAGTGGCCTCCTCTCGCCAGGTTGAAGAAGAGGGAGGACCAGAAATGTCCTTGCATCCTTTGCATCCTCTGCCCTTCTTGCCTTTCCCTTTGCTCTTTCCTTTGCCCTCTCGTCCTCCTGGCTCTCGCGCTGCATCCCGTAATTTGATGGCCTTCCACAGCTTGTCAAATTCCTCGCTCCCTTGACCACGATCAACCTCGATTCGCTTCAGCACACAGCGATCATGATGGAGTGCCTGGTTCAGCTTTCCCCCTTTTGCCGCCCATTCCGCCGGAAGAGAGAGACCATGGCAACTAAGGGCAACGAGGCCACAATTTGGAAGCGCGTTTACAAGCCCCTCCAGTTGCTGTCGAGAGAGTCGCGTGTGATCGAGGTAGAGTTTGCGCAGTGGACAGTTCTTTTGACACAAGACTTGTAGGAACGATCCGAAGCCTGGATTTGCACCAAGATGGGCAACGTGAGATAGGTCGTTCCGGGCGAAGTGGATTGAGTCCAGGCTGACTACTTCGACGTCCATGGCGCAGGCAAGCTGCTCCCCAAAGCATCCAACTGCCGTCTCTGACAGCTTCGTGTTGTCGAGAACAACATCTTTCACACGGAACAGGGCCGAGCAAAACAGCTCGACAACTCCATCGCCCAGGGGGTTGCTGCTGAGGTCCAGCTTCGCCAAGGATGTCGTCCTCCTTTCCAGAAACGTTCGCAAGCAAGCTGCCTCTGGACGGCCCAAGCCACAGCCCTCCAGCTGCAGGTGCTGGAGGAAATGTCCCTGAGCAGCTGCACTCAGAAGGACATCCAGTACTTCCGCACCTCGCAAGTCGACAAATGTCGCAGAAAGATCGGTTACTCGCCAGTCGGATGTCATTTGGCTAGCAGCAGGTGCAATGTCAGCTGGGCGAGTGCCTGCAGAGATTCTCACATGCTTTATGCTAGCTTGAAAGCAATGCTGAAGCCTCTCCTTCGAAGCATCTTGAAACCAAGTCTTGTCAAGCTCAGCATTGCCTTTGCGGGTCTGCAAACATCTTTCGGCTGCTTGGTAGAATCTCTTCGAACTGACCTCACCTGCAATGTCAAGCTCGCATGCCCGGCCGTATGCTGCAAGCTCCGGGAATTCCCGCCACTTGTTCGTCTCTTCGGAAAGCTGAGGGCATTGCTGGCAAAGGAGCTCCACACAGTCAGTGTGTCCACCCCAAGCTGCCAGATGAAGAGCATTGCACTTGTTGCTACCATGCACGTCAAGCGCAAAGCCTGCCTGAATCAGCGCAGAGAGACATTGCGAGTAGCCCTCTGCGGCACAATGCAACAGGAGTGGCCGATTCGAAGGATGCACACTGAGGTCCACTCCATGGAAGCTGCGTGCGATGCCCTGGTGGTTGTGAGTCGCCAAGACATGGTGGAGCCTGTCAAGCCGATCATCCTCATCTAAGGCCGCATCCAACCTTTCCAGCAAGGCGGCATATGCATCACGTGCATCCAGGGCACTGAAGAAGGCAACCTGAAAGCTTGATCTCAGCCAGCTGTTTAAGTCGCTGGCTTCGTCAAACCTCTCTTTTGCCACCACCACGACACCATCATTTGCCAGAGTCCAACATGGCTCTTGAGCGGATGTGTCGTCGCGCTGCCACTGCCCTCCGGCTAGGACTTGCGAGATCACGAACTGGTCCACACCGGGATCTAAAATGCGCAAGGCATCGGCTGAGACCGAAGATCGGCCTGCACCCGAAAATATCGAAACCTTGTCTTCATCGTCGGCCTTGGGCCGCTTGCCGAAGCAATCCAAATCCATGGTTGCCATGGTGGGCACTCTTATATGTCCCTAGCCTCTGCCCGAAGCAAGGAGGCTTCTGCTCTGGGCTTGAGACTGCTACGGCAGCAGGCCGAGAGCTGCTGCTGAACGTGCAGCTCTCGATGGCATGGACTTGGCTTCTGCGAAAACAAACCGAACAGCTACAACCTCTCGCTTTTCACAGCTTTCACTACGTGCGCACCTCCTGCAAGATTGAGTTAATTAAGAGCCCAGCTCGGGAGCTCCGCTGCCAATGCCGAGGCCTCTGCCGAGCATGTCAAAAACTCGAACTTGCTGCATACGCGTACTAGCTGAAGCAGCTGCTCGACGTCAGTACTATTAAGAATATGGTCGTGCCGTCTGTACTACTAATATGATGAGGAGCAGTAGGCTGGTGATAGTAGTAGCAGCGGCAACAGCAGTAGTAGTAGTCATCGTCCTCGTGGTGGTGGTGGTCATAGTAGTATTAGTAGTAGTAGTAGTAGTAGTAGTAGTAGTAGTAGCAGTGATAGGAGTAGTAGGGGTAATAGTAGTAATAGTAGTAGTAGTAGTAGTAATAATAGTAGTAGTAGTAGTAGCAGCAGCACTAGTAGTAGCAGCACTACTAGTAGTCGTAGTAGTAGTAGTAGTAGTAGTAGTAGTGGTGCCGTTTATCATGTGCCGTGCCATGCATCATGCGGCGGGTCCGTGCACAATTGCACAGACACCCGTGGGACTCCACATCTGAACAACAGGTACAATACAAGATAAGTACTTAAAATATGTACGAGAATATACTAAGATATACCAATTTATATTCTTCGCTATAGCAGACTTTGTTACACTACTGTAACCTACCATACACTGTAGCATGCTACAATATTGTATACGAATAGCAGAAGACTGTAAAACATACGATAATATGCTGCATTATATAAGGATCTTGCAATTGCAAGCTTCTCCAAAGTCAACTCCGGAATTAATTGGGGATGTGGCCTCCACAGCCATCGATCGCGTTGACAATGAGGTCATGACCTTTCACGCCTTGTGAGGTCTCTCAAAACACTGTCCCGCGACTGTTGAACCAGCAGTTGTCTCCTACAGCGTCAGTTACCACAAGCTAGCCGCAATTCACAGGAAGACACATGGCCGCCGAAACCTAAACTGCATGCCGATGTTTGGGGGGTGTAGGCCACGACTCAAATACTGATGCTCTCACACAGTACCAAAGATACTAATAATTTTGGTCGGCCACAGTCGACACGGACGCAGGAAGATCTTTTGAAGCGTCGGTCGACGAAGGTTTTCCCGCGGTGTCCTTTCTATTTCGTTGCATTGCCATATGCAACTGTGCACAACCAACCAGTCTTCGATTTCATATGTTAGCATATCACTGGTACATGTGCGGTGATGTGTGCGTTTGTGCATGGTAGTAAGCGGCATAATCCTCGCTGAGTCTCCCGCTCCAGACAGGTTTCTTGAGATTCTCCAGATCCCAGATGGCCAGGCCACCAGCATAGTCGCCGGTAGCTAGGTGGCGGTCCTGATCAAGAGGTCCATGGTACAACCTTTATCTGAGCCTTGCAGCCTTTGATGACACATGGTGAACAAATATAGAGGACTTCATTTCAGTCCCGATTGCCCTTGGTCTGCTCGTTGGCTGTTTCGTGAGATTAACAGAAGCACGAGCGTGTAAGAAGCAGATAAAGCTTTCGTTCAGCCCGGATTACGAAAAACCTGATCTGACCAAGTAGCCGGGACCCGATTGAGAGTCCACTTCCGCTGCAGCTAGCTGGCGAGAAACTACACATCCCGCTCAATGCCCTCCTCGATGGAGGACGCGCCGAAGGTGCCACACTTGAAGCCCTTCGGCTGCTCAGTCTCTGCCTTGCGGCTCATGGTGCATACGCAGCCTTGTCGCAGCGTCGTTTAAGAAACACACACACAGGGATAAGAGAGAGAGAGAGAGACTGCGAGAGTTGCTGCATCTGTGTCCATGCTCTGTAGTTCATGGTGAACTGTGTCATTAAGTGCGGAGCTGCTGGACTCAACTTAATGGTTGCCACATGCCTTTTCTCACGTCATGTGGACGGAGATACACAGCTAGACAGACAGCTAGAAAGACACATAGATACATACAGACAGATAGGTGGGCAAGTCCAGAAATGACGAAATGAAGGCAAAGCAATGTCCACAAAAAGGTGGCTTGCCAAAACAGCATGGACGGACATTGCGAATAATACGACAGAAGGATGCGCTGGTCTGCTGATGTGAAGCATTAGATCTGCCACATCTGTAGGAGGGCTGAGTCGATGATAGCCAGTTTCGGGGCAACGCGTACCGGTACCCTGCCGACTGTAAGGAGGGGAGAAGGAGATTCGCTGCGGAAAGTGGCTCTTGCCAAAGACACCAGTACACCCCTGGGAGTGCGGCCAGCTTCTCGCTCTTGCCCTTGTTCCTGGCAAGCTGAATCATTGCGTCAGGCTGCAGCCTTAAGCCTCGACCGGCACATGATGATTCCACTGCCATTGCTACACTATACACCTTCATCCTCCTACCTCTTTCAAATCGGTTCATGTCCGTCTGGAAGTCGGTAAGCTGGTGCTATTACAACTTTGTGTGACCATAAAGGCATACAAGGGTTGGTACCCGTCGACCTAGTTAACGGAAGTCACCAAGATGTAGTAACATACCGCCGACTCGACGTAGTTTGACAATCTCGTTTGTTGCGGCTTGCTGGCTTCTCGGCTGCAGACTCTCAAGTCGAAAAGGTTTTTGTTGAACGGGACCATGCACGCAAACGGCACGTGACAGCCAAATCTGCTAAGTCCAGTGCTGCAGCGAACCGTACACCTTTACCCAACATCTCAGTGAAATCTGCAGAACTCCGATTGCAAAGCATGGCAGCGGCACAGCTGGCACACGCGAATGCAACCAGTCGCACGAGGGTACTGGCCCAGGACAACATAGCGGGCCTCGCTGAGAAGGCGTCGCTTCATAGTTACTCTGTTTGGTATACCATAAGAATGTGTGTATATATATATATATACATAGTTGTACATATTTATGGGTACATAAGAAATCTCAACACGTGTACACAAAAATATACTGAGAGAGATAGATTCATAGATATAGATAAATATCTGAAACTATCTATACATATATAGCATATAAATGTAAATACAAATATAAGCATATATATGTTCGTTCTACCTATATATATATATATATATATATATATTCGCACACTACTCAACCAAATAATGTCCCAAGGTAATCCTCCATCTACCAGGTTCACAAGAATTGAACACAAGCAGAGATCAACAACATGTTCATGGCAAAAGGGGGGGGCAATAGATTCAATAGGTTTTAATCCACGATGCTGTCATCCAGGGGAAGCTAGCTTCTGCTATCCCTTCTTGCTGCGAGCCCTTGCTCCATCCGCCATGTCGCGTTTGGTTTAGGGTGTAGGGTTTCTGCGCAAGCTGTCTGTGATCAAAGCTCAGCTACCGGCGCTCTGGGGCACCCATCGAGTGTCAAAGGGCGTGAAGTTCAGCTGTTCCTTCAGGTGCCTGAGTAGACAAGAATGCTTCGTAGCCACTAGCTGGACAATCCAGGACGCTTCACAGCAAGATCACATTAGATGATTTACAAGACTTCATAGGCGACAGTACTGTGTCACATGAATCATATGTAAGAAAGGCAAACAGTCAATGAAGCTGGACAACAGGGACTTTTGTAGCATGTAACAAAAAAGCTTACATGTTCAAACCTGCGTGTTGTGCTACGAACTCAAGTGTTGATTGAGGCCTCAGCTCAATGACTTGTGGCGCAGCTGTACAATCCATGCTGCCAAGGAGGCGCAGAAAGTGCTATCGAATTGTCAGTCTCTTGCACTGGGTCCAGAGTCAGAGGCTGTGTGGCATCTTGCTGTACTGTGAGCCGTTAGAAAGACGATGAGGCGCATCTGCAGAGGCCTTTAATCAAGCCAAGTTGTGGCAGATGCTCATCCCTGAACTTTGCTCTTCTTCTGTGGGGCATGCCTCGGTATGCTGTTGTGATTGCGTGACGCAGCTGCTGCCCCGGGGAATGCAAAACGAACACCTGGGCTGCGGTCGTGGAATCCTCCTCTGGAAATGTCAGGCGATGCACACTCTCTTAGCTGCTCGGCAGGCCAAAGAAAGCTCTGAGTCTGTTCCGCGAGATCAGCTCTCCTCTCCTACTGAACATTGCGGTCGTACTTCTTCAGCGCGGACAGCCTCGGCAGCGCACTCGCTAATGGAGTAATCCGGTTGACAAGCCTAGGCATGAACTAAGCGTGCGGCTCTTCCAGGAGGTCATCCAGGTGGTGGTTGCCCTCCAGGGTGGGGATCAACTTCCTGCACTTCGGCGCAGGGCAAGTCTAGCAGTTCCATAGCAATAGAAATGGTAGAATCATGTAGAATCATGGGAACGGCTAGCCAACCGAAAACGGCAGCATGACGACAGATCCCCCAAACCGCTTCTATGTTTTCGCTGACGGCAACAGCTGCAGAAGCACACTACCAAAAGGAATTGTGCGACATTGGGTATGATGAAATTTCCTGTGATTTGAAGTCTGAGATGATCTGAGATGCACGTTCAAACTTCTCAAGACACTTGCTGCGACCTTTTTGGATAAGAACAGGGGCCACACAACCCTTGAAGCACAGACGCCGAGTGTATCCTTGCTTCGTCCGAAGTGGCGGGCATGAGGTTGCAAAGCTGTGTGGCCTCGAAGTCCCGGCAACGCCTTGGCAAGGGTGAAGGTGGGTTCTGATGTCGAGGAGACGCATCTACACATGTGTATGATAACTTTGGATCAGGCCTTCGCTCGTGCGTGGATTGTGAGATCAGGGTTTAGGGTTGAGGGTTTAGGGTTAGGGGTTTAGGGTTTAGGGTTAAGGGTTTAGGGTGCAGAATGATGTAGTTTTGATGTCCTCATCAGCCCTCGCAAAAGCAGCCCCGGCCAACAAAACCAGAACCTGGAAATGCACACGAACTGCTCTTAGACGTGGGATCCTTTAGGATGTCCATTTTAGAAGAGCTAATGAGAACAAGGACCCATTAATAGATATGTACCCATAATGCAGAATGCTCACCAAACTGACCTGACCATCCTTCCTTAGTATTTTGAGCAAGGTTCGGAGGCATTGGCCTAGTCATACAGGGGCTCTAAGGCTCTAACAGACAGCAATTCTTCAATAGCACCCCCCTATACTACACTAATGCAGAAGCCTCTATGATTAGAATAGGGTTTTGGGGTATATTTTACCGTAAGTATAATAAGTTCATTATTTTATTTAGGCACTAGTAGTACGCAGAAACCTTCATGAGCTGGGAAGCGGCGTGCTCACCAGGACCGGAACGACTCTTACACAAGCTACAGGCACTGGATGGGGCCAGGCTCTCAGAGTCCGCAGAGAGCTTCCTGTTAGGGTTTAGGGCTTAGGG